GAAGATCTACTTGAGAAGAGGTTTATTCGTCCGAGTGTGTCACCGTGGGGTGCACCAATTTTGTTGGTTAAGAAGAAAGAAGGTTATATGAGACTTTGTGTGGACTACAGACAATTGAACAAGATGACCATCAAGAATAAGTATCCACTTCTAAGGATTGATGATTTGATGGATCAGTTGATTGGTGCGAGTGTCTTTAGTAAGATAGATCTGAGATCTGGGTATCATCAGATTAGTGGATGGAGGAGCAGACTGAAGTGGAAGAGTCTTTGTCAGCATACTGGTAATGAGGTCAGCTCAGATATTGGTTGTTTGAGGGAACATCGTCTTGTGTGCGTAAGGGTTTATACTGATACTGTGTTGTCAGACAGGTTTTCTTGACATCACGCTTCTGTATAGAATCTATTTCAGTTCTTGTTGTTTGTGAAAGTTTATTTCTCTTGAGTGTCTATGATCTTTCTTTGTAGTTTTTTGCTTTAATGTTGTGTTTTGATTCTCAAGTAGTTCATGCAAGTGGATGTGCCTGAGCTGCTGTGATGATAACATATCCTATGAATGTTGTCTAGAACCAGGGTTAAGGGTTCAAGGGACTAATGTCCAAGAAAATGTTGGAACAACATTGCAGCTGGTTAACTTTCCAGAAAAATGAGCATGTCATACATGGGAAGTAATTTTGTGGAGTTTGTGTTCGCTAAGAGCTTCATAGATCTAATCTTGGTGTATGCTGGTGTAAAGCTATTGGACAAGTCTAGTGTCGATGATGGCTGAAAGGTAGGCTCTGATGTGTAATGCAGGATGACATACCTGATGTTGTGGAGAACCATGGTTCTCTGGGTGTTCTATTGAAATGCTACAATGTGAAGCATGGAAATGACCTCTGAATTTCTATATGATCTTGGGTGGTGTTGGGATGCCATGTTCTGACATTATACTAGTTTTTGATGCTTAAAGAGCAAATGCAATTTTTTTATATGGTTTGTGTTGCTTGATGTCAAACCAAATATGCATGACATCTTGCTTGCCTGAAGTGCTTTGCAGAACTCTGATTTCTCTTAAATGTGTTTGAGGTTTATTTTTCCGTTGTGCGTGTGCCTCTGATATGTGAACTGGGACAGTTCATGATTGCATGGGTATGTCTTTATGAACAATGTTGTTTTCTGTATGGGAGAATTTACTTTTCTCTGCAAAAGATTATGATCTCCAAGGGAGGTACCTGTCTAATCTGTAACTGCAAGGTGTAGTTTGCACAGAGCTTACATATTCTCATGTAGCTTGTGTTGGTTTGTGATGTCAGATATGATATCTTGGCATTGTTTTTTTACTGTTCAACTTCACTTTGTTGACTTCTTCAGCCTTGAAATTAAGAGGGAGACTATTTTCGTTACCACTGTGTTGTGTTCTTATGTGGACCCTGTTTTGTTTCTAGCCTATGTGCCTCTGGTTGTTAAGGATGCTTCATCTTGAGAAATAATCTTGTCTTTATAGATCAGTAAGAATATTTTTTTTGTTTAAGCATATTGCTGAGGAAGCTGTTGCTCCAAACTGAGTTAGATGCTAATAGTCTACAATGTCAATCAGGATGTTATGACATTGTACTGTGACAAGCTGGTCACAATCATAAGTTTCATGGATTCTCACTCTGCACAGTTGGACAACATCTTTGCAACTGGTCATCATCTTGTCAGGGGTGTTTTGAGAGTTTTATATTGATGGAGAGTTATAACATCTATAGTTTAGGAGGCATGAAACACGTTTTCTTTTATTTTTTATTGGTGCATGTGTTTCTCAAGAAAAGCGGTTTTTCAATGACATTGAAAATGTCATTTCAAAGACCGCAATTAGCATTTAGAAAGCTAAAAAGGAGAGTGCATTTGTTACCCATGATAATTTCCCTTTATTTCACAATCCTATTCTTGAGTGTCCAGGCGTTGTAAGCGAGGTTGTTATTCTTTGTTTCAAAAATTACATTTTCAGTCGTGTTTCAACATGATCCAAAATTCCAAAACTTTTTATGCTACAAAGGCTGGTGTGTTAGATGCCAAGAATGTTAAGAGTGTTGATTCGAAGAAGGTAGAGTCTAAAGTTAGGACATCTGCTGCCTCATTTACTTGAGTATCTAGGACAAGAAAGGCATATGTGACAACAATGAGGCCCTTCAAGAAAAACCATGACTCTGATGAGGATGGTGATGAAGATTGGATTAATTTTATTAACTCAAGAGGTTGGAGTGGTTTCCCAGCTCCATAGTTGTAGTTTTTTTATTTGTTTTTTGTTTTGTTTAATGTTTGTGTTGTAATAATTCCTTAACAATTTTTGCTTTCATCTGTTTCATTGTTAGTACTGTTTGTAGCCTTTGCTACTATGCGTTTCTATTTACGTTGTTTACATTTACTCTATTTTCTTTTTGTCAATTTTTGGCTAAAAAAGGGGAGTAAAGTGTTAGGTTGTTTTTGGCTGTGTCTGTTTCTGATGTTGGATCAGATGTCATGACCTCATGTCATGTGTTGTGTTTTACTACTTCTTAGGAAGAGTAGTTTTTGTTGTTGGGCTAAATGTATTGCTGAGATGAATGTATCTATTTAGGGGGAGCATGATAATCTGTCATGCTTGTGCTGCTACCGCTGAGGTGAGATCACATGTCTTAACATGTTGTGATTATGGAGAACCTTGGATGCTCTATGGTAATTTATTACTCTGATACTCTGAGTAATATGTGTGGCTTCTGTTGTATACATTTCTAATGCATGAAGTTAAATAGTTTATGCTTATCTGTCTTGTGCTTTGGGTTTTCCCCTTGAAAGGGATGTGTGAACTAAGGCAGTTGAAGTTTGGATGTCAGGTGATTTTGGTTTTTCCCTTCAGGGGGAGTATTGGATATTTGTGATAGGGGAGAAATGGACCCGTCTGAGGTTGCTGTATTGAGGTTGTGTTGATGTGATGTCAGACCACATGTCTTGACATCTGATCATTGGAGATTTTTGGAGGTTGAAGGAGCTGTAACCTCTAATGGTCTATAGATGCATTTTATCTCTGATATCTTTATGTTTGCAGGTTTTGTGGTATTATTCCTCTTCTCCAGAATTGTTGTGCAAAGGTTTTTTTAGCCAAAATTTATTAAAGGGGAAAATTGTAAGTTCTGTGACATTTGGATTGGCTACATTTTGGTAAAACAACATGCTGTTAGCAAGATATTGAACCAGATGTTCTGCCATGACAGTCAGACATTATGTTCTGCATGATGGTGTGACATGTTCCAGGACATGTTATACCAGAAAGTTAAGGTATGACTATTTTGGTATTTTTATTATGATATTTGAGTGTGTTTTAATTCACACGTATGCGTTATCCAAGGAGGGATATTGTGATAACTTCTGTTTTGACAGATTGTGATGGTTTATTGAAAAAGGATCGTTGAGCCTTTTAGGAAACTTTGTATTTTGTTCCTATTTTTGTGCAGGAGATTATGCTTATGATTTTAAGTTGATTCCTGATGAATTGCACCTCAAGAGCCCAGGCCCACAAGGTTTGAAGGCTATTTAAAGAAGACCTAAACTTAATGAAGATACGACTTTCACTTTTGTAAAATAAGAGGAGGTTTTAGAATCTTAAATTTTGAGAGTCTTGTTCTTGTTAATTATATGTCACCCTTTGTATCTTCTGATGCATTGTGGTAGACTGATTTTGTATTGTTAGTTTTCCACTCTAAAGCTTGTAAGCAAGAATGTATTATTCTTGGTTGAAGCTTTTAAGAAAAACCAAGTATTGTAGTTGAAAGAGTGTTATTCTTCTTTCTGGTTTCTCGAGGTATTGTCACTCGGATTGCGGCTGATTAGGAAGTGAGAGGGAGGATCTCATATCTAGAGGGTTTCTAGGTAGAAGTGCACAAGGTAGTGATTAGGCGAGAAGTTGTAAACGGGAGAGTTTAGTTTTGACATAATGCTATCATAGTGAATTTTCTTTCTGACTTGGATGCCCCCAGATACAGGTGATGTTACATCGAACTGGGTTACCAATTGACTGTGTTATTTTTGTTTCTGCAATTTAATTTTCAATCTGGTTTATTTGTTTTGTCAGACAAAAGATGTTGTAACATCTTTCTTGACATTATGTTCTGATGTGAGGATATCAGTATTAACATGTGTTAGAGTGCCAAAATTTCATTAGCATGATGCTTATGAGGTTCTTGTCCCTCATGTAGACTAATATGTATTGTCGTTTGGTCTTCGACCCTCCACAATTAAAAAAAATGGAGGACAATATTATATATAATTTATATTTTTTATATAAAATTAATTAGTATAAAATATAATTTTTTTTTAATTTAAGACATATGGAGTAATGAATCAGAGGAAAAAAAAAAGAAAAAAAAATCTTTGTTAGTAAAAAAGAAAGATAAGTATTGTCATAATAATTCCCATAATCAATTTCCAACAAACAACAAACCTACACCAACAAACCTAGCCCACATTTGTTAATGCCTCCAATATCAAGTCACACCTAACTTAATCTCCCATCATTAAATGCCTATACCCTTCAATCATTCAATCTCATATCTCAATCTTAACTCAATTTCCATCCTATCTACAAGAAGAAAAAGACCCCTTCCATCAATCAATCTCATCTCTCAATCTTAACTGAATTTCCATCCTATCTACAAGAAGAAAAAAAATCTTTTCATATTAAAAACCCTCATAATCAGGATATATAACGTTTTCAAAATTTAAGATATAAAAAACATTCAACACTCATATTCCCCGAAAAATAATATTTTTACATGTAGTACTATTAACCATAGCCTCATTTTAGAAATAAATGAGTAGGAGCGTGTGCATTAAATAAAACGCTACCTGAAAGAAACACGTTCTCCCAAAAGTCGTTGCGAAACACAGAGGGTACAACACTGCATTCTTTGTTTCATTTCTTCATCTTCAACTCCAAACCACAAAACGCTGCGTTTATTCTGTTTTGATTTTTCAACTCCTCTCTGACCTAACTCCACCATGGCCATCGCCGGCCACCACAAACCGAACCCCGACGCCAACCTCTTCCGCCTTTGTCCTTTTTGGAGTTCTGGCAACACACAAAACCAATCCCAAGCAAACGCTCAAAAATCCCCTAAAACGGTGTCGTCTGTAGCAAGGTCGTTGTTGCTACCTCCCCGCCGTAGACTCCGTCTTGACCCTTCCAATCACCTCTACTTTCCAGGTAACGAATTTCTCATTCACCATTCTTCTGCATTTCGCTGTTTTTTATTTATCCATTTCTTAATTCTGTTGTGTTTTTTAGTGAATTGAAGTTCTCCGAATTCGAATTCAGTTCTTCTGATTTCAAATTAGCTTCATTTCTATTTATAATTTGACTATTATTTGCACGAAAAAGTTTTTTATTTTAAATTATTACTAACTGTCACGTGTGTGAATGATAATAAAATAAACTAGGTTTCTCTTCTTTTGGGGAAGTTTCTAGTTTTAGAAATAGAATAAATTTTTGGGTGTATGTGTGATGTTTGTTAACTTAATGGCTAATTAATTAACACTAAAAAATTTGGTTTTGTTTGTTTTGTAGATGAACCGGGTAAGCAGGTTAAAAGTGCTGTTCGATTAAAAAACACTAGCAAGTCTAGTGTTGCTTTCAAGGTATTGGTTTCTTATCATTCATGTGTTTCTTGTGAAAGCTTGGACACCGAAATACGATACCGACACTGACACTACTACATGTATAATAATAATTTGAAGAAATGAATAACCGTATTGTTGTTGTTGTCGATTTCAGACAACGATATTGACACATAACATATTTTTTCAGAGGTGTCGGTGTTACAGAGGTCTTATATTTCCTAGCATATGTCTGGTTGAGTTCTTTTACAACTTTGCTTTTGTTGTTTCAGTTTCAAACTACTGCACCAAAAAGTTGTTACATGCGGCCTCCTGGTGGAATTCTTGCACCTGGGGAAAGTGTTATTGCAACTGGTAATTTTTTTTCATTAAAATTGGTTTTTGTATATGTAAATTTTGTTCATTGTCTATCTTGTTAGTTTTTGTTTTCTGTTTTTGCATTATTCTAATATATGCCTTTCAAATGTGGTTTTCAGTGTTTAAATTTGTGGAACAACCTGAAAACAATGAAAAAATGTCAGATCAGAAGAACAAGGTCAAGTTCAAAATCATGAGTCTCAAAGTGAAACAAGGGGTGGACTATGTGCCTGAGCTGGTGAGTCTAGTAATGTATATTGTATTGGTAGATATAGGGAGAAGGAGAGAATGTGCTCATTTGTGGCTTCTGATTATTCTATTGGCTAACATGTGAACCTTATATGCTATAAAAAGAAAATGGAGTGAGTAATAGCTGCTAAAACTAGTAAATCCATATTTTCTGTGTTGATTATCACTTGTTTTATGTAATAATTTTCTTGATAATAATTTTTCGTGGTGAGTGATTAATTATACAAAACAAAATTTGGCGTTTGGCCTTCTGTCATGCAGTTTGATGAACAAAAGGATCTAGTTACAGTGGAACGAGTCTTGGGAGTTGTATTTTTAGATCCAGAACGACCAAGTCCCGTGAGTCAAATTTTCTGCAAATTGTTATGGTGAACCATATCACGAGTCCAGTGATGTCTAATAATGGAAATGTGGTGTTTTTAGGCTTTGGAAAAACTGAAAAGACAATTGGCTGAAGCTGATGCTGCACTCGAAGCTCGGAAGAAGCCTGCTGCAGAGACAGGTCCTCGAGTTGCTGCTGAAGGTCTTGTCATTGATGAATGGGTATGTAAAACGTTTATGGCTTAATGTGCCCATTTCAATGTTTGTTTTCAGTTTCATACATGTTTTTTATTACTGAAGTCATAAACTGTCTCGAAATTCTTATAGAAAGAACGAAGGGAAAAGTACCTGGCCCGACAGCAAGTTCAAACAGTAGAATCAGTGTAAAGCCCAATTTGTTCTTCCAGCTTGTGCTTTTCTTCAGAGAACGATAAACCAAGATGTTAGTGATGTTGATATTTTTGCAACCAACCTTGGATGAGATTCAAAATATAACAGCATAGTCTGTTTTATTATTGTGAAAGCTCTTGTTCTTTGGAGGAAAAAAAGTCTTATATGTATATAGTAGAATTTACTTGTTTGTAAAATAAATGCTAGTGTTCATTGCCATCCTTGTGAAATAATGTTGAAATAACAGATTATTCATGATCATATCATTTTTTGTTGTGTATCTTTATCATGATCAAACACATACATCTACTTCTTCAACATTAAGCCACTTTTATTGGATCTTGTTATTTCTTCAACCTGAAACAATTCATTTTAAACTATACCAACTTTCAGCTGATTTTTTTGTAAAAAATTTGAAGTATACACTATTAATTAGCTTGGTTTCAACTGAATGGATGTCTTTGATCCGACTCCTTTTGATGAAGAAAAGGACAAAACAACTTCTTTAATCCATAAAATCAATTATGTCAACATCTATATATAAGTTAATCATCTAACTCAACCTTATAAAACCGACCCTATAAAACCGACTTGTAAAATAAAGATTGTCTCACTTATAAACACAACACATGTCATGTAACAATGTGGAGCTAAATCCACCCACCCCTTCAAAGGCAACATAGTGAAGGTGTTAGAGGCTGCAATGACGCAAGTCAAAAGTGTCACAATTAAGGCGACTAAGGGAAAACTTTTTTACTAAGGCGGAAAGTCCTACACATTCTCTGATGTTTGGGCCTCAATGAGTCTAAAGCGTGGACAAGGCGGGAAATCCAACAATGGGTCTAGGATAGGCTTTGATACCATCTCAAAATTTGTGTTGTGCCTAACTCAACCCTACAAAATTGGTTTGTAAGGTGAAGATTTTCCCCATTTATAAACACAACACATGTCATATCTCTAAGCAATGTGAGACTAAATTCACTCCTTCAAAGCTAACACAATGGATGTGTCAAGGGTTGCAATGAGACAAACCAAAATGTTGCAATTAAGGCGACTAGGGGCGAACTGCAATTAAGACGGAAAGTACAACACACATAAAATGCACGATTCCTTAAAGAAACTGAAGCGTTTCTCCTTTGTTCGTCCAAAGGTGACCAAGGAATGGTTGGCTCATGAAATTAAAGCATTAAGCCCTCGCATTCCTACACATTGGCAAGGGCTTAGGGGGAGGTTGTTTTGCACCGACCGCATCAACCCCGACTGACTAACTGAAAGGTGCCAACTCCTTCCAGAATCTTCTCAGCTCACGAGGTTATCATCCTAATGATCACGAGAGATCTCAATTGTAAGTACATCCAATGGTTCTCCGCATTTCACTCCTAACAAATAGCAAGTTCATACCTCTCTCTCTCTCTCTCTCTCTCTCTCTCTCTCTCTCTCTCTCTCTCTCTCTCTCTCTCTCTCTCTCTCTCTCTCTCTCTCTCTCTCTCTCTCTCTCTCTCTCTCTCTCTCTCTCTCTCTCTCTCTCTCTCTCTCTCTCTCTCTCTCTCTCTCTCTCTCTCTCTCTCTCTATGTATGTATGTATAAAGAGGGCGCCAAATTGAGGTAACAATTTTCAAATCCAATTTTATTTCACTCTTTCCTCATGCACTGACTTGAGCATTGGAAGTAACTTTGGTCCCCTCACTCCACCGCATCAGAGGCTATGATCCACCATCACCGCTATTCCTACACTAATTTTTAGTTCCACAACGGAAAATTTTTGATGATGACAAAGAAGTTAACGCGAAATCATATTATTATAAAAAAATCTAAATATGAAATAAATCAAAAAGCGAGAAGTTTTTGGCAATCCATGCAAAATAATCAAAAGCTAAAATACTTCACAAAGAAATGAAGTCAACTACAAAAAGGTTGTACGTGATCCTTTTGTTTCACATTTTTATTTATTTGTTGTAGGACCAACGTGTAAAATTAAGTGTATACTCTATAATCATTTAATTCATATCACACACACACTTACACGCGTGCATACACACGTACGCGCACAAATACAGACAAGATTTGACTCTAAAAACCTTGATTTCTTATCTAAATATTTTATCATAAAATGAGGACTTGTGATCATTTGAAACACAAAAGAAATTTAAAAATAACCTCTCTTTTACTCATTCTCTTACTCTTTTAAATTTCATCTTCACTTAAATATTATTTTAGTGCTGAGAGAGCAAGTACTTTAGCAGAGTTATCTTGTGTAAATTGTTGTTGATTTTTAAGCGTAATCAAGAGAAGGTTGTTCTCTTCACTCTGATTTTTTATATAAAGATTGCAAGCTGAACATGAAATAAAAGTTTGGTGTAAGAAGATTGTGGGTTAATCTTGTTGTAAAAGTTTTGTGATAATTGATATATCAAGAATTAGTCCTTAGGGATTAAATGTATGCTTCATATTATTGGGCTGAATCTGATAAAATTTAGTGTTTCTATCTCTGATCTCTAATCTATTTACTTTTTTGGCTTTATTTTATTATACCTTTTTTCATCTCATGCCCATCTTCTTAAAATCATCTTAAAATTGTTTTGCTATTTAAAGTTGCAGAAAAACATGTATATCACAATTCAACCCCCTCCCATTTTCTTCCACTTGAAGTAAGTTGGACAACAAAATCGACACTTTTATGCATTTGTTAGATGAACACAAAGTATGTTAAGTATTAACAAGTGTGAATAGTGTGAATAATAGTCTCACATTGGATAGAAATGTGGTGACTTGAGCATTTATAAGTGAGAGAACCCATACACCTATCACCTTAAGGTTTTGGGTGAGTATTTTGTGTGTCTTTCACAAAGATGTTGCTCTAGAAAGGAAAAAGTTCCATCAATGTTCAATGCTCCCTAGTTGAAAGTTCAACAGTGGTATCAGAGCCTTTGGTTCGAGTAAAGGGAACGACTTACTTGTATCGAAAGTATCCCCATAGGTCGTGGGTTGAGTGTCTCGTTGAAGAGTGTCAACGACGGTACAAGGGTGCAGTTGCACAGTTGAAGTTTCTGCTTAAAGGGGAGCATTGTGGATAGACTCACACTTGAGGAAGAGTGTTAAGTATTAACAAGTGTGAGTAGTGTGGATAATAGTCTCACATTGGATAGAAATGTGGGAAGAATAGTGATGGCGATGAACTATCTGAACGACAACTTTCTGGCGACCCTGCCAATTCTCAAGAAAGATAATTATGAGAATCGGTGCAAGCAGATTAAGGTGATTTTCTGTTATCAAGATCTTTGGGATCTTGTGAAGGATGGAGTAACATCGCTTGGGGGAGAACGCAACGGAGGCGTAAAAGACTGCACACAAAGAATTGAAGAAGAGGGATTATAAAGCACTCTTTATAATTCATCAGTGTGTTGATCCTGATAACTTTGAAAAGGTTAGTAATGTTGATTCAGCAAAAGAAGCATGGGAGATTCTTGAAAAGTCGTTTGGAGGCGCAAAGAAGGTTAAAGAGGTGAGGTTACAAACTCACAAGAGAACCTATGAGTTGCTTCAGATGGAAGACAACGAAAGCATTACAGATTTCTTCACCAGAGTTACAAAGTTGGTGAATCAAATCAAAGTATGTGGAGAAGCGCTGACGACGAAAGCAGTTGTCTCAAAGATTTTGAGATCGTTGGCTCCAAAATTCGACCACGTGGTAGTTGCCATAGAAGAGTCGAAAGATCTGTCAGTGTTGACGAAGGAAGAGCTTCAAGGGACTCTTGAGTCTCATGAACAGAGGGATGGCTGAAGAGAGCTGCAGGAAAGTCGAAAGATATGGCTTTGCAGGGCGCAGTCAGAAAAGGAAAGAAAAGGCAAAGGTAGCTGAAATGGCAACAAAGGAGGAAACTAGTCGAATCAGAAGAACCCTTGGAACCAAGGCAACCAAAGAAGTGGTGGTGCTGCAGGTAAAGGAAGAGGTGGTGGTCAAAAGACAGACAAAAGCCACATTCAACGTTTCAATTGCCAGAAGTATGGTCATTATGTTAATGATTGTCCAGAAAGGAAGAGAAATCAAGAGACTGATGCAAAGCTGGAGAAACATGAAGAAGAAGAAATGTTGCTAATGGTCACAACAAAAGATGAAGAAAGATTCCAAGATCAGTGGTACTTGGACTCAGGATGCTTATCACACATGACTGGAAGGAAAGATTGGTTTTGTCAACATGAAGCCCTCGTCGAAGAACACCGTGAAGTTTGCAAATGACAACACTCTAGCAGGCGAAGGTGTTGGTGATGTTCTGATTATGAGGAAAGATGGCAAAAGGTCAACAATTTCCAATGTGTTTGTACATACCAGGCTATGAAGAGTAATTTGCTTAGTATAGGGTAACTTGTCGAAAAGAACTACAAGGTAGTTGTCAAAGACAAGATGATGAGAGTTCTCGACGCAAGGTGGTAGATTAATCTTGAAGGCTCCAATGTCTCAAAATAGGACCTTCAAGATTGGAATCAATGTGATGGAGCACAAGTGTCTAGCAACTGCAGCTAGAAGAGATGAGTGGTTATGGCATTTTCGACTAGGTCATCTCAACTTTAATGACATCAGAGAACTGAAGAGAAGAAATATGGTTTCAGGATTACCAGAAATCGACATTCCAAGTGAAGTCTGTGAGGAGTGTGTTCAGTCGAAACAACACAAGAATAGCTTCAGCAAGGATGCAGGAAGGAAGTCGAAGGGCAATACTTGAAGTCATATACTCTGATGTATGTGGTCCAATCCAAGTGGATTCGGTTGGTGGCAATAGATACTTTGTCACGTTTATAGATGATTACAGTCGAAAGATGTGGACTTACCTTATCAAGAAGAAAATTGATGTGATTGAGGTATTTTCCAGATTCAAGTCCATGGTCGAAAGCTGAAAATTCTGAGGACTGATGGTGGTGGAGAGCATGTATCAAAAGAGTTTGATACACTATGTGTAAAAGAAGGGATTGTGCATGAGGTGGTGCCACCTTACACTGCA